AGATTATAATAATGAACATTATCAACAAATCAGTTAAAGGTTTGCTGCTACCATGAATGATAGATGCAATCCTCTAGATGGATAATAACTATCTGAAAATGCAAACCTCAATTGATGTGATCTCGTTGAAGTACTTGGTGTTAGGAATACCAAGACAACGCATCCCATGCTGATGACGCCATTCCTTAAAATGCCTCTCAAAAGCTCTATGCCCCAGTAGCTGTAGTTTCCACACATATCACATTTGAATTCCTTTAAAAAATAAGAAAAGAGACCTCCAAATCAGAAATTGCCCATAGCCCTGCATCATACCTCAAGATTATTGCACATTTTTTCGTTTTTAAATGATGTGATCTAAAACTTTAAATACCGATGCTCATTCTTATTGAAGCCTTCTCTGATTTTGATTTGGTTTATCATAAATAATAATAGAAAATCCTAGCAAGCAGAAATGTAAAAATACATCCACAAAGGCACAAACTACTTAGCAATATGAGCATTGGGAAGAGCAAATACCTGCCCAAGACCATAAAGCTTACAAAGCCAGTAAGGTATTGGCTTCCCATCCCAACCCATTGGCAGTTTGAGGGGATTATAGATCTGTTGCTCTTCCTCATCACTCTCAGTGTTGAGTTGTGTCACTTCCTGTTAAGAATATTCAATCCATCAAAAGGCCTAATCTGCTTTGTACTTCTATTTCATATCATTGAATACTACCAATCCATAAGTAATCTATCCCCTCAATTTAGCAATGTATGAGCCTTGCTAGGGTTTTAACCAATTACAACCAAACTAGTCTTTTTGCATTCATCCCAAATATCAATATATGAAGAGAATTGATTACAAATAGACATTAACATATTAATATAGTTCAAATGATCAAAAGGCACCTCAACTCACTCATTTTGTCCAATCTTTATACCAAATCCTGACAATAGGAAGCATATTAAGAGACCTATACATATATGGTGCACATGCTAGAGTTAGGCTGATTTTATAAATTTATGGACCACTTAGCATGTATAACCTGAAAGGCTGAAACTAAGATTTACAGACTTGGAACTAGAATTTGGGATTTACATGTTCCCACATATGCCTTTCCAACTTGATGCTTAAGTGCTACAATAGCATCCTCACAATACCTTAGATAAAATAGCAATTCAAATTATAGAAATGCAGCAACGCAGCCTGCTCCCAAAATTGAACAATGACTGAATCAGAATGATCAAGTTACCTCCTCTCTTTCTTGTTCCATTTCATCATAAGTCAATGCCTGCTTCTTCACTACATTTTGCCTCGTTTGTTCAATTGTCTGCAAAACATCACAAAAGAAAATAATCATTAATTATTAGTCACATAGCGGCCACCAAAAAGAGAATTCTTTCTAGATTTACACAAATCATTTGTAAATATGAATATTTGCACGATATTAATACCAGTATTGATTAAAGCCTTATATATGATTCAGAAACTTTACGACCCCAAGCCTACAATGTCTTCCAGTTGAAAGAAATTTCAGGAAACAAAAATCACAAAACAAACCTCCGAAAATATTCTATCAAGATCTTGTAGTGGTTCTGTCCTCTGAAAGAAGTAAATCAAATACTCCAGCAGATTCTCCATGTACTCCGTCTATTGGCTGCAGAAAACAAATATTGTAAATAAGTTGCAGTCTAAGTTGATCCAAGTAATCAAGAGATGGATATTATCATA